GGTTGTTCTCGTTACATGACCGGAAGGAAGTCATAATTGAGAGAGTATCGGAATTTAATAGATGGAGGAAAAGTGAAATACAAAAATAATGCAACGGATGAAATCAAAGGATATGACATGATTTCAAATGGAGAATTCACAATTCGGAAGGTAGCTTATGTTGAAGGCTTGCAACACAATTTAATAAGTGTTTCTCAATTGGTTGTAGGTACAGGTCTCAAAGTATCTTTTGATGAGGAAGGTTCAAAAATCATACAAAAAGAAACTAATAGCGTTCTTCTAAAATCAAAGAGAAAAGGATAAATGTATCCGCTCAATTTAAAACCGATTCAAGGCAAACCATCTATCTATCTGCCTGCAAAAGCTTCTTTGGATGATAGTTGGTTGTGACACAGAAGGCTTTCACATCTTAACTTCAAAGATATCAACAAGCTTGTTATTGGTGATCTTATTCGAGGTCTTCCACTTCTGAAGTATGAAAAAGATCATTTATGTGCTGCTTGTGAGTTGGGTAAATAAAGCCGAAAGAGTCATTATTCAATAATGAATACCAAAATAATCGTGCCACTTTAATTAATGCATATTGATCTTTGTGGTCCATCTTCAGTTGAAAGCATTGGCGGTAACAAATACATTTTGGTTATTATTGATGATTTTTCTCGATTTACGTGGGTATTTTTTCTTAAATAGAAATCTAAAGTGACTCGAAAATTGTTTGATTTTATCAAGGAAGTTGAACTTCAATTACGAAAATCTGTTCGGAAAATAAGAAGTGATAATAGTTTGGAATTCAAGAATCAAGTTTTTGAAGAGTTTTTATCAAACAAAGGCATTGTTCATAATTTTTCCTCACCATACATGCCCCAACAAAATGGAGTTGTAGAAAGAAGAAACTGATCTTTGTGCGAAACTGCAAGAACGATGTTATCATTTGCAAACTTACCATTGTATTTTTGGGCAGATGCTATTGTCGCTGCTTGTTTCACTCCAAATTGTTCATACATTAACACGCATTTTCTAATTACTCCTTATGAAATTTTGAATAATCGGAAGACTAACGTCAAAATTTTCCATTTTTTGGCTCTAAGTGTTTCTTATACATTTCAAAAGAACATCGCAACAAGTTTGACACTAAAGTAGAAGAAGCAATATTTTTGGGTTATTCATTAACTTCAAAGGCTTATATAGTCTACTCTAATAAATAAAGATTTGTTTTGCCAAATGTCACACTCTCATTCAATTTGACAAATGTCATTTTGTGGTTATTTTGAATTAATTTCTTTTCCACATATCATTTTATGGGGTTTTTTTATTTTAATAAATTCCACATAATACTTTAATGTAATAATTACAATAAATGTAGTAATAAATGAATATCAATTTCACTAATGGACTTACCTTCTTATTTCAAAAATCCTAAATTAAAACTCATTAGTTTATTTTGTTTATTTATTTAAATTTAAAAGATAAAAAAATCAATTTTAATAATTCATTATTTTTCTTATTTTCTTATAAATTCAAAGTTCTTAAATATTTAGACCTTTATATTTAATTTTTTTAAATTAATCCATGTAATACATGGGTCTTACGCCTAGTTCTTACTTTTGCCAGATGTCACATTCTCATTTAATTTGCCAAATGTCATTTTTTGGTTATTTTGAATTAATTTTTTTTTTCACATGTCATTTTATAAGTTTCTTATTTTATAAAATTCCACATAATATTTTAATATAATAATTACAATAAATGTATTAATAAATGTATATCAATTTCATCAATGGACTTACCTTCTAATTTCAAAATTATCAAATTAAAGCTCATTAATTTATTTTTTATTTATTTAAATTATTTATTTAAATTTAAAATATAAAAAACATTTCAATTTTAATAACTCATTATTTTTCTTATAAATTTAAAGTTTTCAAATATTTTGACTTTTATATCTAACTTTTTTTTAAAATTAATCCATGTAATACATGGGTCTTACAACTAATCAAAAAATATATTGTCCTTTTAAGTCATTATCTCTTAGAGAAACAAACTATACTGCGGGGTATAATGAGTACAAAATATGCGATAAAGTTGCAGTGGAATTCTTCTATTATATTTTAAAGGGATAATGACTTAGGAGGGTAATAACGTTTTCTGTTTGTCCATTTTAGGTCCCTAACGTATTTTTTGTGCGTATTACACCATTAAGGTTATTATAATCGTTTACAAATAGTCCTTTTAACAAGAAGAAACCGGTAAAAGGGATTATTTCTAAACGGTTATAACAACCTTAATGGTATAATACACACAAAAAATACGTTAGGGACTTAATATGGACAAACAGGAAACATTATTACCCTCCTAAGTCATTATCCCCGTATGAAACTATAAACCCCTATAGTAAATTTTTACTTTTTAAATAAGAAACTTGTAGGTCTTGGGGTTGGTAGTTTGGATGCTTTTAACATCGGCCTTCTTTATAAATGGAAGTGGCGGTTTCTTAATGACAAGGGAGCTCTTTGGGTTAAAATTGTCAAATTTTGTCATGGGGAAGATGGTGGTTTTTCGGACGATTCCAGAATAAGAACTGGAGGGAGTGTTTGGCAAAAGATTGTAGGATCCATTAATCATCTCCATGAGAATAGTTGTATTCCTTCTAATTCCATGTATAGAGTGGTGGGGGATGGGACTCAAACAAGGTTCTAGAAGGATGTTTGGCGCTTGGATATTCCTCTTAGGGAGCGGTTCGGGAGGCTCTTTGCTTTGGCCTTTAATCAAGATGCTCGAGTAAGTGAATAATGGGATTCGAGGGGATGGAATTTTCATTGGTGTCGGGGGATTAGAGGAGGGGCTGAATCGACCCAATTTGATTATCTTGTGGAGATATTAAATCCTATTCGCATAGGGGAAATGTCGGATAAGTGGTCTTGGGAGCTTGAATCGACGGGTATCTTTACTGTTAAATCAGCACGAAATTTGGTTAATGATATGACGCTTCCTATGGGTAGTATGCCTACTAGGTGGAACTGTTTTGTCCCTATTAAAATTAACATTTTTTATGGTGTGTGCTTTTGGATCGCATTCCAGTAAGAGCTAAATGGGTGGAAAGGGGGTGATGATAGATTCCTTATTGTGTCCTGTGTGTCATAATTCTCAAGAAAGTGTGAAGCATTTGTTGCTGCAGTTTTCGGTTGCTGATCAGGTTTAGAGTCGGGTTGGACATTGACTTCATTTGGACCTTACTGGTGTTTTCATCTATCCGTGATGTGGTGGATTGGGTGGATTCTAGACTGACGGTTCATATGGAACGCCCGATTGTTGAGTCAGTGTTCATGGTGTTCATGATGACGTGGTTACAAAATCCAATCCAATCCAATCCAAACATTTCTATTTTTTATTCTTTTTAATTTCAACAACTTTATATGAAATACACATATAAAAATAAATACTAAAAATCTTAAAAATATATATTCAAAATAATAAATACTAAAAATCTTAGGAGGGTAATAACGTTTCCTGTTTGTCCATTTTAGGTCCCTACGTATTTTTTGTGCGTATTACATCATTAAGGTTATTCTAATCGTTTACAAATAGTCATTTTAACAGGAAGAAACTAGTAAAAGAGATGATTTCTAAACGGTTATAACAACCTTAATGGTGTAATACACACAAAAAATACGTTAGGGACCTAATATGGACAAACGAGAAACGTTGTTACCTTCCTAAGTCATTATGCCTATTTTAAATAATTGGTTGGACCTAAATCAAATTAAAATACAAGCTATTGCTATTTGGAAAGTTGAGAACAAAACATAAAGTTTTTGTACACGACGCGCTTTACATAAACTTGGGTGGGTCAAATGTAGAAAAAGAGAAAGTAACAAATGAACAAGCACCAAAACCTCAAGGGTATTATTGATATTTAATTCACAGCATCATGTACATAAGCATGCATGTATGTCTATACATATCATGATATCATGACATCAAGGCAGCGTATAGGGCGATAGGAAAATATCATAGCCACGTAAGCAAACCTTAGATTTTTAAGTCCACACATATTACAGCTAAAGATCTCCTCTCTCTAAAACGACCATTCTCGCTCTAAAAAACTAACCCCTCTCTCTCTCTCTCTTTCTCTCTCCACCTAAAATTCTCCCCATTTTCGATCCCTTATAATCTCTCTTCTCGTTCTACTAGAACCTTCAAATCAACTTCCTAAATCTTGAAGGCGGCTCCGATTCTCTGAACAACAACGGCGGAAGATCTACGGGGAATCTTTAATTCTCCGGAGATCTCCATCTATCAGGTATATACATAAATACATAATACATACATATTTGTACGAGTATATATCTTTGTAACTTTTTTGAATTTGTATATAAGTTCAGATTTGATGAAGGTACTTAACTTGTTTGCATTTCGCGATTAGGAAAGTGAAAACAGTGGTTGATAATTTGACAAATATAGAGGAGTTCTGAATAGTTGTTCGATTTTTATTTTTATTGTTATTATTTTTTTAATCTAGTATTGATTTACTATCCTTTTCTCCCAATTTTTTTTTTTTTTGGATTCAGCAAAATGTAGTGATTTTTTTTTTGTTAATATTGTTTGAGTTAGATATACAAGCATAGTACTTGATTTTTTTTTTTCCCAATTCTTAGATCTTTCTAATAAGATGGGGTGTTTGTGTTTCAACTTTCAACTACATGTAGATTTAGGTTTTCCTTCTCTTTTATTGTGGCTATGGCTATTCATTGGACTTGAATCATGTCATTTATTTTAGGGGAGGTGTTAGCTTTATGGATTTGGATGAAAAAAAAAACGTTCATTGTTCTTTTGGTTTACCAATTTGTTTCATGTAAGTCAACTTTTTATAAAATGCTTGATTACAATCTTCTCATTCTTGATGATTGTTAGCAGATTGAAAAAACCAAAGCTTGCAGTTTCACCATATCCCCCTGTGCTAATATTAGTAGAAAGCAAAGGGTGATCTAGTCTTTTCATAGATGGCTACCACATCTGCCAGGTGGACCGATGGTCTACGATTCTCATCACTGTTTTGGCCTCCCCCTCTAGACACGCAACAGCGTAAGGTATAATGAGTGTCTTTTTTTTTTTTTTTTTTTTTTTTTTGCAATTTGAAGTTATAAAGTTTTTAGAAAAAAGTGTTATTGTATTTAGACAGTGATTTTATATTTCATTGTGTTTCATAACCAGGCACAAATTACTGCATATGTTGACTACTTTGGTCAATTTACATCAGAGCAATTTCCTGAAGATATAGCTGAGGTATTTCTTTTGCACCTTTTACCAATCAACCTGTTTGCTAATGTATAATTACAATTCTGACCTTGATATATACTTTCAGCTGGTTCGCCACCGCTACCCCTCACAGGAAAAACGCCTGTTTGATGATGTCTTAGGTATTGTTATTCATATTTCATCATTTACATCACTTTGACATTTCATGTTGATATATATGATCTAACGAATCTAAAAATTTCCAGCAACATTTGTCCTTCATCATCCAGAACATGGGCATAATGTCATTCTTCCAATAATTTCATGTATCATCGATGGAACAATGGAGTATGATAGAAACACTCCCCCATTTGCTTCCTTCATTTCACTAGTCTGCCCCACCAATGATGTAAGAATTTAATTACCTTTCTTACTATTTATAGTTACTTTTTAACTCATGTTTTTGAATTTTGAAACACAGAATGAGTATTCTGAACAATGGGCTTTGGCATGTGGGGAGATATTAAGAATTTTAACGCATTACAACAGACCGATTTTTAAGGCTGAACATCAGCATAATGTAACAGATAGAAGCAGCAGTGGGAGTCAAGCTTCAACAAGTAATTCTGTTAATGGTGAAACTTCTTCATCATCTGCACAAAATGAAGTGAAACCACTGAGGCCATTATCTCCATGGATTACTGATATCTTGCTTGCTGCTCCTTTAGGTATCAGAAGTGACTACTTTCGCTGGTAAGGACTAAGGAGTTGTTCCATTTACAAAATTACAAAAATACCCTTATACTGTTCATATATATTCATCAAAAACTTTCGTTTAATTTTTTAGGTGTGGTGGTGTCATGGGGAAATATGCAGGAGGGGAACTGAAACCACCTTCTGTGGGTAAGTGGACATGTTATCTTTTGTTTGAATAATTTGAAAACTTGAAGAAAGAAAATAAGAGTTTTGTTGAACTTTTTTTTTTTTTTTTTTGTAATATGTATACAGTGATGGCTTCTTCTAGGGGATCTGGAAAGCATCCACAGCTGATTCCATCAACACCAAGGTGGGCAGTTGCTAATGGTGCTGGTGTGATATTGAGTGTTTGTGATGAAGAAGTAGCTCGTTATGAAACTGCTACTCTAACTGCAGCTGCTGTTCCTGCTCTTTTACTCCCACCTCCAACAACTTCCATGGATGAACATCTTGTTGCAGGTCTTCCAGCTTTAGAACCATATGCAAGGTTGTTCCATAGGTATTATGCAATTGCTAGTCCAAGTGCTACCCAAAGGCTTCTTCTTGGACTTCTAGAAGCGCCTCCATCATGGGCTCCAGATGCTCTTGATGCTGCTGTTCAGCTTGTTGAGCTCCTTAGAGCTGCTGAAGATTATGCATCTGGGATGAGGGTAAGTTGAAAATTCTACACATATTTAACCGAAATTGTATATGAACATATTTTTGAATTTTTTTCTATTGTTTTGAAGCTTCCAAGAAACTGGATGCATTTGCATTTCTTACGAGCAATTGGAACTGCAATGTCGATGAGAGCTGGTATTGCTGCAGATGCTGCAGCTGCTTTACTTTTTCGGATACTTTCTCAACCTGCTTTGCTTTTTCCTCCTCTTACACAAACTGAAGGAGTTGAACTTCAAGATGAACATCTCAATGGCTACAATTCAAACCCTAAAAAGCAGAGAGAAATGCCAACAACTGAAGCAACAATAGAAGCAACAGCGCAAGGGATTGCTTCAATGCTCTGTGCACATGGACCAGAAGTGGAATGGAGAATCTGCACCATTTGGGAAGCTGCATACGGCTTAATCCCATTAAGTTCTTCCATAATCGACCTCCCTGAAATCATCGTCGCTGCACCTTTACAACCTCCGATCCTTTCATGGAACCTCTACATCCCTCTTCTTAAAGTCCTGGAATATCTCCCTCGTGGATCCCCATCCGAAGCTTGTCTCATGAAGATCTTCGTCGCTACTGTTGAAACAATCCTTCAACGAACATTCCCATTCGAACAAATCAAAAAATCAAAAAACGTTTTCGGATCCGCGTCAAATAACATCGCGGTGGCGGAGCTTCGTACCATGGTTCACTCTCTGTTTCTCGACTCCATCGCCACCGTTGAACTCGCTTCTCGATTGCTTTTTGTTGTGTTAACTGTTTGCGTCAGTCACGAAGCACGAAGAGGAAGAGATGAAGATAAAGATAGTTCAGTGACTAGAAGCGAAAAATTGAGAAACAAACAAGGATCCGGATCCGGACCCGGACCAGTATCCGCTTTTGATTCTTACGTTTTGGCAGCAGTTTGTGCGCTTGCGTGTGAGCTACAGATATTTCCATTGATTTCGAGAGTCGGAAAGCATTCAAAGCATATTCCAAACACAAACACGAAAGCGAAGGACATAGAATCTTTCAATGAGTTTCAAAGTAGCATCAAATCTGCAGTTTCTCATACGCGTCGATTACTAGCGATTCTGGAAGCGCTATTTTCGTTGAAACCTTCTTCCGTCGGGACTTCATGGAGTTACAGTTCGAACGAAATCGTCGCAGCTGCTATGGTCGCTGCTCATATCTCTGAACTTTTCCGACAATCGAAAGCGTGTATGCGTGCTTTATCAGTTCTGATGCGATGCAAATGGGATAAACCGATTCACTCAACAGCATCTTCCCTTTATAACCTAATCGATGTTCATAGTAAAGCTGTTGCATCGATTGTGAACAAAGCGGAACCACGGGAAGCTCATTTGCTGAAGGATGCTCTTGTGAACTTAAATGGTAAAAGACAGAATAAAGGATCTGAAAAAGGGGAATCATGGAGATCTGTAAGGGCATGTGAGGAGGTTTCGAGTGAGGATTCGGAGAAGGAGGAGATAACGAGTTTTCCTTTCAATGCTTCGGAGTTGGCTAATTTTCTTACGAAGGATAGGCATATTGGGTTTAATTGTAGTGCGAGGATACTTTTGACTTCGGTGTTGACTGAGAAACAGGAGCTCTGTTTCTCTGTTGTGTCGTTGCTTTGGCAGAAGCTGATTGCTTCACCTGAAACGCAAGTTACTGCAGAAAGCACTTCTGCTCAACAAGGATGGAGACAGGTGGTGGATGCACTATGCAATGTGGTGTCAGCATCACCAACAAAGGCTGCAACTGCGGTTGTCCTTCAGGTATGGATATGTCAAAAAAATTATCCCAACATTTCTTCTTATTACAATATTAAAAAATATATATATATATATATTGAATCTAATTTGTTGTTTTGGTTGTTAGGCTGAGAGAGAATTGCAGCCATGGATTGCTAAAGATGATGATGTTGGTGAAGAAATGTGGAGAGTGAACCAGAGGATTGTTAAGCTAATTGTGGAGCTAATGAGAAATCACAATACCCCTGAGTCATTGGTAATTATGGCAAGTGCTTTAGATCTCCTCCTTCGTGCTACAGATGGCATGCTTGTTGATGGAGAAGCATGTACTCTACCACAACTCGAGGTATCATATATTTTCAAATTTAACTTCATTTCACATACTCTTTCATTGATTTGTATATATATTTTAATATTTAATAATGAATTGAATCTGTGAAATTTTGGTTGTTGTTTTAGCTTTTGGAAGCAACTGCTAGAGCAGTTCAACCAGTGCTGGAATGGGGAGAATCTGGAATGGCAGTTGCAGATGGACTCTCGAATCTTCTCAAGGTAAAAATCAGATTTTAATAATCTCGATTTCTATTACATGAATATTTATTGATAGTTGGGTACTTTGAAACCAAAGCCTTGGACTTCTTTTATAGACAGACATTCATTAAATAATGAATTTAATTTATTGTAACAGTGTCGGTTGCCGGCTACCGTTCGGTGCCTTTCTCACCCGAGTGCTCATGTGCGTGCCCTTAGCACCTCAGTTCTTAGAGCCATTTTGCATGCCGGCTTCATCAACCCAAGCGGCGGCGGTGGTGGTGGTGGAGGTGGTCCTGCGTACAAGTATGTGAGGGTGGATGTGGTTGACTGGGAGGCGGATGTTGGAAAGTGTTTAACATGGGAAGCTCACAGTCGAATTGCGACTGGAATGCCGATTCAGTATCTGAATACGGCGGCTAAGGAATTGGGATTGGGGTGTCCAATTCCGATTCCCATATCTATCTAATCAAACAATCAATCAATCAATCGCTAATGCAATTAACATATGCGGATTCCATTCCGCTTGTTGTAATCTTCTATGTTGTGTATACACTGTGGATAATATTTAGGGTTTTGTTGTGAAATTCAAACCATGGATTTTGAAAGCGGGTTAGTTCTTTATGTTTATGTATATGACTTGATGAGTACATTTCTGAATAGTCATTTTTTGTTTTTCTTATTTAAACCTATTTTTCGTGTTTATTTTTTTTTTACTTAAAGATGTATAGTCATTTTTTATTTTTCTTATTTAACCTATTTATTGTGATTATACCTTATACTGTTCATTAAACTGTCTCAAAATTGTAATTCTTTTTAGTTGTATTATTAAACTATTTCCCTAAAATATAACGTATTCTATTTTATATCATCTTAAGACGTATAATTTTATGTACACTGACCAATTTGTCCTTAGCATCAACTTTTTTTGTTTTTTGTTTTTCCATCGTTTCAAAAGGACAAAACTGCACAAACGGTCCCTGTGGTTAGCTCAAAATTGCCATTTTTATCCAAAAAAGTTTGGACTAGCACCAAAGGTTCAAACTTTTCATTTTGTTGCGAGTTTGATCCAATTTCTTTAAACTTTTTTATAATGACGATTTTGCCCTTATTTTTTATTTTTCAGTTTTATTTATTGATTTAAATATATTTTTATGCTTAAATGAAAAACAAATTACCCTTCTTTTTCTCTCTCTCTCTCTCTCAACTGCATCATCTTCTTCCTTTGTGTACCTAGAACTCAAAAAAAAAAATCACACATACTTTCCTTATATACCTGCAACTAAAAAATAAACAAAAAACCCACATATATTTCCCTGTGTTCCATCTACTTCTTTGTTTTCTCACATATTTTTTTGAAGCTTTCTCTCACTAAAAGTATGATTTTTGAATTTTTGGTGGAGATAAACGAAACTCATATTTCTTGAAGTGGAATCTGATATGAAGTATGATTTTTGAATTTTTGGTGGAGATAAACGAAACTCATATTTCTTGAAGTGGAATCTGATATGAAGAAGTGAAATTTGATCTGAAGAAGGTACCCTAGCCATCGTGAAGCTCGAGGTCGCCGGAACCACATCAAACCCTAGGGTCACTGTCGGGAATCACTACCATTCTCCAACTAAGAAAAATGAATTTTAGAAGTGAAATGAAAAAAACCCACCTTCCTTTACCTCCGATTTCCACCATGTTTTACTCAAACAAAACCGTCTTCGTCATCAATTCCCAAATGTACAACACCCTTAATCTCGGTTTTTTGTCGAATCTGTACTTCCTCATAGACCAATTTCTCATTAGGGGTTTTCAGGTCACCAGTAGTAGAACATGATGAATTTGGAGGTTGAATACGAAGCTTGAAAAGTACATTCATCCACTGAAGAACAGCCAATCTCTTTCTCGAACAGATCTGATGACGATCGGAGAAGATGAATGGTGGCAGCGACGTTCCAGATCGACAAAAACATTCTAGATCGTTTTCTGAAAACCGAAGACAACGATGACGATCTAGATCTGAAGCGGGGGGAGTGTTTACAGATAACCAGAAAATTAAGAGTTCATTTGTCTTCGACGGAAATCGATGCTTCTTGGTGGTGCCATCCATCTTTTCCGGTGGTGGTAGCGGCGTTCATCTTTTCCGGTGGTGGTGACGACGTTCAATTTTTTCGACGGTGGTGTTCAGAGAGAGAGAGAGATGAGAGATGAGAGAGAGAGTGAGACGAGAGATGAGAGAGAAAGAGAAAAGGAGGGTGGGGCCTGGTTTCTATTTGTTTTTTTTCTTAAATTAAAAAAGTGTTAAAGTAAAATAAAAATTGAAAATATAAAATACAGAGGGTAAAATCGTCATTATAAAAAAATTCAAAGGAAACTGGACCAAAATCGCAATAAAATAAAAAGTTTGGACCTGTGGTGCTAGTCCAAATTTTTTTGGACCAAAGTGGCAATTTTGAGCTAACCACATGGACCATTTGTGCAGTTTTGTCAAAAGGGAATTTTATTCGCAACCAAAAATTGTATGATAACCCTATTTTACATGACTACTTTGACCATTTATATTGTTTTTAAATTATTTTAATGATATGAGATTATTGTATTAGTTTATTGTAATTGTAACTACAAAATAATATTTAAGATTTTTTATTAGCTTTTCTATTTTATTACACGTTACATTGTTTTATAATTTTAAACATAAAACAATGAAATGAAAAATGTTACAAAAGTAAACAAAAAGATAAAAATATATAAAAAATAAAAAGAATGAAAATAAATAAAAAATTATAAATAAGAGGACTATAAATATAATTTGAATATATAATAATAATATTTGAATATATAATAATAATATGTACGGCCGGATACATAATTCAAGGACTTTTTATCCGACATACAATTCAATGATATTGATGCATTTAATCATAACATATGTAATATTTTTCTTATAATAATGATATGTATATTCGAACATACAATTCAAGAACATTTCTTATCAAACACACAATTCAATAATAAATTCAAAGACATTTTTTTTATCAGACACACAATTCAATAATACCGACACACAATTCAATATGTTAAATCATAACATATATAATGTTTTTCTTATAAATAGACCCTTCCAGTTTCATTTTCATCATATCTAATTTTGGGAAATAATTTATTACAAGTAACAACATGAGTTGGCTCAAGTATTTTCAATCGTTCAATGAATTAAATTACGAGATATGTTAATTTATTACTATTAAGATATTTATGTTTATGTACATCATATATTCATGTTTATATGTATTGATTAGGGTAACGATATTTACACAATCAATTCACTTTAAGATGGTGATAATGAAAGAAGTTATTTCATCAGTGACACATCAAAATTTGAAACTTACATAATACTAAAAGTTGTAGGTTAATTAGTAAAGCTATTAATCAATAAGTTTAGTAGTTTCTAATAAAAACACCATTACCGGTTATTCAATTCTCGTGAACAATTAATCGACTGTGTTTAAAAGACACATGCTTGTTTCCACATGTTATTACAAATAGAGATTTGACTTGCATTAAAACATACAAAAATGTATTTCCGGACGCTAAAGAATTACTTTGTAGATGACATATCAATACAAATATTAAAAGAAAATACAAAAGACCCATAGCGAGTTGGCCTACTTTCTATGAAGGAGGGAAAAGATTAGTTAATCTGGAACAAAAGAAGCATACATTGCCAATGTCTCACAATTGGAAAAAAAATTCTAGTAAACTATCCAGGTATTTATTGAATATATATATTTTATTTAGTTATATTTGTTTAATAAAAAGTTTATCTAAGCTATTATATATTCCAGACGCTATTATTTATTTGAAGACAACAACCATATAAAGAAAATTTTGTATCTGTTTGAACCGACAAATTTCTACACTCCAATGATAACACAATCAATAGAGTGAGAGTCAACATGCCAAGATAAAACAATATCTAGGCTCATCACAATTAGATTTGGTGATAATGTTACCAAGAATTCATGATGTTATTTTATCACAAGAGTCTGCTATTAAATCAAGTCTCCAACATAGTTAAATATCGAAACAACATCGATTCGACATGTTACATTTCAAAGACCTAGTTGGAAATGTTTCAAGTCATGCACTTGATACAATCTTCAACGAATTTGAACAAATCGATTTTGTTGGATTCTTTCCTGAAAGTTGTGGATGTCAAATGCGTACTAGTCATGGGCTACCATGTGTTCATGAACAAGCGCTATATTTTTATAAAGGTACTCTTATACCACTTCATTCAATTCATAAATGTTGACGGAAACTTGACTGTAAAGTCGAAGGCCAAATATTTAACATACAATTCAAAAAACATTCAAGATTTTGTAAAACTAAAGCATCCGGTCCACGATTGAGCACAAAGTCGACAAAAATAAGACCTCTAGTTCCACAACTCAAGATCCTTTCAAACAGATACGCCAGATTATATTCCGTCAACTCAAGATCCTCGCACATATAGTTTTGATACGCATATACCAGTTATATTATATGGAGTGTAATCAATTTGATTTAAACAAGAAACTAGAGAGACACAACACATATCCACTTATGAACGAAATTCCAAATGAATTTCATCAATACGTCACAAACAATGATGAAGTGGGAGGAGATAGAAATTGTGGATATCATGCAATAGCCTTTCTCTCATATATAGTCAAGATAATTTGCCTCAAATGTGGTAAGATATATATGAGTTATTAGCGCACTTCAAAATGTACAAAATGATTTTTGAGAATGATTTCAACAACTTAAGTCGCTCATTGAATTTCTTTGGACCGGGTTTTGTGTTAACTCCATATTGGTTGATTATGAAGGATGTTGGTTTTCTAATAGCTAACAAATATGGTGTAATTGTACATTTTTTAGACAAACTAGGTTTGTCAACATACTTTCTGCTTTGTCATGGTCCGCAAGACATCCCACATCATAGATATGTTGTTATCGTCCCCGTTCATAGTGCTCAGTATGTGAAGGTTGACTTACAAGGAGAATATCTAATCCCTACAGTTTTGTTACTTTAACGTATCTATAGATCAGAACGGCTTGATGGCAAATCATGTATTTTTTTTATTTGGAACGGAATGGCAAATCATATATAATGTTAGACTGAATGCATACATTCCACCAAATGCACCGCATAATAATTTTCATATGCAATCAATTGAGATGTTTGATGATTAATATAAATTAATTATACTTTGTTATATTAACTATTTTATTGTTATTATATGTATAGACAACCAAAAAACATATAGGTAGATTATTATTTATATTAAAAAATAAAAAGGATCAGAACTGAAAATAATATATAAGATGAAGGACCATAAATATAAACTTTATTCATATGCAATTGAGATGTTTGATGATTAATATAAATTAATTATACTTTGTTATATTAACTATTTTATTGTTATTATATGTATAGACAACCAAAAAACATATAGGTAGATTATTATTTATATTAAAAAATAAAAAGGATCAGAACTGAAAATAATATATAAGATGAAGGACCATAAATGTAAACTTTATTCATATGCAATTGAGATGTTTGATGATTAATATAAATTAATTATACTTTGTTATATTAACTATTTTATTGTTATTATATGTATAGACAACCGAAAAACATATAGGTAGATTATTATTTATATTAAAAAATAAAAAGGATCAGAACTGAAAATAATATATAAGATGAAGGACCATACATGTAAACTTTATTTATATTGCCATAATTGTGATATGTTTGTGTTTAATGATTATGTTGCAGGTATGATGATGCATAGGTCAATTTGGGTGTGATTAACACTTATAATTTTTTAAAATTAATTCACACCTATAATGACCGATTTGTCCTTACCCCACCAACTTTTCTTTTTTAGATTTAGTAAATATTAGTGTCTTGAATATGAATTTTTTAAATACTATATGAAAACACAAATTTAGTATATACAAAGTTTTAAAACAAAACAGAAATTATATTCAACATGCAAAACTAAAAGCACATTGCTATTCTACGAGTAGATATAAATTACTAACCAAAAGCTTCAGAATTCTGAGCCATATATAATACAACATCATCTTCAACTGGTTTTGTACTTTTTGTGCTTCAAAATCTTCAACTTTATCAAAGAAACATTAAAACTTTTAACCATATCTTGAGTGATTTCATCTTCACATAACAAACCCCTTTCACATAAATCCATCAAAATCATTTCACCATCCGTGAAATCATCTTTATTGCAAAAAGACTCGACAATTACACAAAACGTATTCACCATGGGACAAATACCTCTTTTCTTCATCTCCTTATATAACTTCAACCCTTCAACCAAATCACCACAATTACAAAATCCCGTTATTAAAACATTATAAGTAACCGCATCAAATCTTACACGATTAAATTCCATAATGTTTTTCAACTTCAACGCCTCTTTAAACTCTTGTTTCTTGCACAAAGAATGCATCAAAGTAGTAAAAGTAGCGGTTGTTGGAACAAGTTTTGATTTAAGCATACAATCAAAGACCAAAAGGGCTTCTTCAACTCTTCCTTTTTTCACAAGCCCACGAACCATAGCACTCTCAACCACACTCCGTGATACAACACTTTTTTGCATTTCATTTTTTACCAAAAACGCCCCTTTCACATCTCCCACACGACACATATCCGTAATCAACCGAACAACTTGCTTTTCACTAGGAACAAAACCTTTCTCCAACATCTCTTTGATAAAAACATGAGTGGGGTGACATCCATATGTTTCTTTGATTCCTTTAAGAATAATATCAAAGGTTTCTTGATCCGGGATAACTTTTAAAAAATACATTATATCCAAGAACTCGAAAGCTTTCACCATCTTCTTCTTCTCACTACATTTAGAGATCAACATATCAAATGTGACCTTATCGACAATCATACCTTTCAAGATCATATTTTTCAACATTTTGGAAGCAAAATCAAGCATACCCACGTTACAAATTCCATAAATTAGGGCGTGACATGTTCTTTTATCGGGAAAAAACCCTTTTCTCAAAAGGGTAGTGTATACTTCAAAG